CAGGAGAGAAAATGTGCTTAGTCATGTTCTCTTCGTGTTTGTCATCTGACGTGTTAAAGTCGTTGTTTTTTTTAAATATATAAGTAGTGTTGCCATTCTAGCGATTTTCAATCTAAGGTTAGAGTTTTGAGCGGGAATTTTTGAAGGAATTTTCTTTGTAATTTAGGGCGGTTTTGAAGTCCTTTTTTAGCGGGAAAATGAAGAGCTTTGTGTCTAGCGGTTTTTCAAATTTTGTCTAGCGGTTTTGTGGAAAATCTAAATGGCAACACTTTATAAGGTTAGTCTAAAATTCTGTTTACTAAGATGAAATCGCATTTATGAAGCTTTGAAAAGTTTTTTTTCTGATTTACTTCATTCATGTATTTTGTTTATCTCCTTAAAATTCATTCGTTTTCCGATGATATTTGTGAAGTTTGGACCATACTTCTGCAACTTTTTTTTTTTTACTGCATCTGGCTTGTCCAAATAATGTTGCATCATCTTCTTTCAACTTGAGAAGAGCCTCTTAATACAATCGTAATACAATACAGTGATAGCTGTGTGTGTGTTTTTTGTGTGTATGTTGGTTAGTATGTACGTGTTTATTTCCGTGTATATGTGTGTTTACTTGTTTGTGTGTGTGTGTGATTGCGTGTAATGTGTGTGTTTGCTTGTATATGTTTGTTTGCATGTATATGTGTGTTTATTTGTTTGTGTGTGTGTGTGTGCTTGCGTGTATGTGTGTGTTTGCTTGTATATGTGTTTATTTGTTTGTGTACATGTGTACTTGCGTGTGTGTTCTTGCGGTGTATAATGTGTGTTTATTTGTTTGTTGTAACTGCGTGTGTGTGCTTGCGTGTATATTGTGTATTTGTTTGTTATGTGTGTGTACTTGCGTGTGTGTGTCTATACGTGCGTGTAGTGTGTTCTTATACATCCACGCGACCTTCTTCACTCCACTTCCAGACTGTCGCGACGAAATCAAAGATGGCGGAGGAGCCTTTCGTTGCTGCCGAAAATCTGCTTCTTTTGGCCGAAAAAATTCAAGGGGATTTCCCTTACTCTGCCTCGGTGAGTCAGACTAACAGCTTTCTCTATTTCTTCAGTAAGTTTTGGCGTTTGTCGTTATAAGTGCTAAATGCTGTTGACTAATTTTAGGTTATGTGTTCGAGAGAGAGAGAAGAGAAGAGAGAGAGAGGAAAGAGAGAGAGAGAGAGAGAGAGAGAAGAGAGAGAGAGAGAGAGAGAGAGAGAGAGAGAGAGAGAGAAGAGGAAGAAGTCAGATACATTAATGTATATACGTGAGTATAATATAATACGTATAATAATTGTTATGACGTACGAGCACACCGGCAGCCACGCGACATACTTAATAGCCAAGAACCGCACACACCACCACAATAACCATACACACCAGACAGTACACACACACAATCATTCACACCCACCTCACACACACCACACACCACACACACTCACACCACACACACACTCACCCCACAACACACAAACAACACAACACACACATAAACCCATTCATTTTTTTTTCCTCATATTCCAAGGTGTACAATAGTCTGCTGTTCCACGCTCGCAACCACGCGAGGTCCTTCAAATTCCACACGCTGAGAAGTCGTCCTGAGTCCCATGTTATTTTGTGGACTAACGAGGTAAGGAAGAGGGTATCCTGTGCTTGTGTGTTGTTTGTCGGGTTGTCTCTCTTGTTTTTTGTCTTTGTTTTTGTGTTTGTTCGTTCGGTTAGGTTAGGTGGTTGTTCGGTTCCGTTTAGGTTATTCTCTCTTTCTGTTTTTTCGATTTTTTTTTTGGCTTTGTTTTTTGTGTTTAATATATAATTGTTCTCTCTCTCGCTCTCTCTCTTCTCTCTCTCTCTCTCCTCGTCTCTCTCTCCTCTCTCCTCTCTATCTCTCTCTCTCCTCTTCTCTCTCTCTCCTCTCTCCTCTCTCTCTCTTCTCTCTCTTCTCTCTCTCTCCTTCTCTCTCTCTCTTCTCTCTCTCTCTTCGTCTCTCCTCTCTCTCTCTCTCTCTCTCTCTCTCTCTCTCTCTCCTCTCTCTCTCTCTTCTCTCTCTCTCTCTCTCATTACTCTCTCTCTCTCTCTCTCTCTCTTTCTCTTTCTGTCTCCCTCTCCTCCTTGTCTTCCTCTCTCACTTCTCTCTCTTTCTCCTTCTCTTTCTCTCTCTCCTCTCTCTCTTCCTCTCTCTCTCTCTCTCTCTCTCTCTCTCTCCTCTCTCTCTCTCTCTCTCTCTCTCTCTCTCTCGTCTCTCTCTCTCTCTCTCTCTCTCTCTCTCTCTCTCTCTCTCTCTCTCTCTCTCTCTCCTCTCTCTCTCTCTCTCGTCTCTCTCCTCTCTCTCTCTCTCTCTCTCTCTCCTCTCTCTCTCTCTCTCTCTCCTCTCTCTCTCTCTCTTTCTCTCCTTCTTTCCTCTTCTCTCTCTCTCTCGTTCTCTCTCTTCTTCTCTTCTCTTCTTCTTCTCTCTCTCTTTCTCTCTCTCTTCTCTCTCTCGTCTTCT